TAGTGAGTGAGTTATCTCGAGATCTGATGGTTTTATAAGCATCTGGCATCTCCCCTACTTGCACTTACTCTGTCCTGCCACCCCATGAAGAAGGTGCCTACTTCTCTTTTGCCTTCCACTGTGATTGTAAGCATCCTGAGGCCTCCCCAGCAATGCAGAACTGTGAGTCAATTAAACCTCTTTCCTTTATAAATTACCCAGTCTCTGGTATGTCTTTATTAGCAGTGTGAGAATGAACTAATACAATAAGATGAGAGAGTACCTATGAAGACATAAAGAGACTTCTACAGAGTACCCTATGTCTGAAGGAGAGTACTCAAGGAAAAGCAAACCTGGAAGGGGTGGGCTCTTCCCCAAGGCTGTGGTTCCAACATTATTGGAGTAGGCAAGCTTGTGGCCCACTAGATAGCAGTTAAGTTCACTGGGCTGTCCAGCCAGAGCCGGTCCACAGCCTCCAGACCAGGAGGAAAGAACCCAGTGGGTGCACGTACATTAAGTTTGGGAGGTGAGGCCTCATGTGTGCAATGGGTGGAGGGTCTGGTGTGCAATGCTCATGTTGGGTGGGCCCAGGGAAACAATATCCTGGGGTGCAGGCCAGCTGACGCTGGAAAGCAGTGTCCAGGAGGAGTTGAGACTCCACTGCGGATGTTAATCCACATCACAAGGACTGAGGTGAGGTTCACTGGACCCAGGCCGGGGCTCTGAGGTCACTGAGGGACTGTACATTTTGGGTATGTGACTAGGGCAGAGCACCACTGGGTGACTCACATGCGCACTGTTGACAGACCATGCAGCTGAAGCAAGAAAAAACAAAGGTCAGTACCCAGGAACCAGGAAGAAAAGCCCCCTTCCACCCGCAGTGTCCCTCCAGCGCCCTCTACCGACAAAGCTTCACATCGATCTCATTGTAAAGGAGAAATGCTTGAAGAAGAGTCCAGTCCATTATCACAGACGAGTAACTGAAGGGTGGATGTGGGGCTGAGAGGCAATAAATTAATAGCTAGCATAATGATCAGTGGCTAGGTTCATTATTCATTAGGGTTGCAAAATGGTGATAATCTAATTCTATCCATCTTCCTACATTAGGTTGGAAGGCTTCTAGTGGGAGAAACTTTCCACATCCCTTCTTTGGTGGCCCCAAGGCAAAATGTGCACAAAAACCTGGCTCCCACCCCACTGCCAACGCTTTCCCTCTTCTTACCTAGTGTAGATCCTTAGGGTCTTAGCACTTTTTAAATTCACCCTATCTTAGTTCCAGGTCTGATCTGAACTCTACTTCTGGCCTCTTGGCATCTCCTTTTCACTCTGGTCCAATGCCTAACTTCAGGTCGAAACTATTTTCTTACCACCTCCTGAATCTTGACTCTGCCCATAAATTCCCTGAAGAGAATGTATGGGAAGTGGAACTTCTCATTTACATCTCATGTAATCCTCACAAACACCTTATGAGATGGGTGTTATTGTCTGGGTTTTACAGATGGGAAACCCAACTAAGGTTTAGAGAGGTGAGGCAAGGAATGAAGAGCTGGGGTTAGAGCCTGAGGCTGCTCACCTCTGAATTGTGGGAGTTGGAGGCCCAGAAGGACATGCTGCCTTCTGCAAATTCCTCTTTAGGTAACATCAAACTCACATGCCTCCTGGATTCTCACCAGTTCTCTGTTTTTTCCCTGAATTTCCAGGGCATTAGAAATGTTCTTCACATTGTCTCCCCCTAGCATCACCATTGAAAACTTCCCATCTCTCTTACAGGATCACTTCCCTCCAGTATCCAATCCAGATCTTTATTTTCAGGCCTGGATTTCTTCTCAAACAGCTGCCTAATACTATTTAACTGCATTTACTTCCCCACAACTTAATTGCATTTTATTTTCTCTGGTCTCAGATTACTGGGACAGTCACCTAAATCCTCTCTAGTTCTGAAGATACTGTTTTTACCTCCTCCATCATCCACTCTCCTGCACTCTCCCTACACAGAGAAGGGAATGAGAATAGAGGTGAAAACTTCTCTTCCCAGAGGCAGTTATGGTATTGAGGGTGGGGTGGGGGATGGGGTGTAAAGAAGGAAATAAATAACTGCCAGACTTGGCACTGACATTGAAACTCTCTTCATTCTCCACTTCAGAAAACCATGAGCCAGCTATGAGGTCCCGATCATTCCAGCTATGTAGAGAAAGCTAAAAATCATGGTGAAACCTCCGCTCTCCTTTCTTCCTTCTCCAGTTCATCCTTCCTCCTTCAACAACTCACCTGCTACTTTTCCTTTTCTCTCAAGTCATGCCCTCCACCCCACAGTTATGACTCCCACCTCCTGATCATCCGGAGCCCCTTCCCCTCCATTCCTTCCTTTTGGTCTGTGGTCCCTCTCTTTCTCTGTCCTTCCTCTTACCCAAGCTTCACTGGAAAAATCAAACAACGTAACAAAAGAATGGGGAATAAGCAAACAGCTGCCTACCCTTGCTTGGAAGTCCCTGGGAAGCAGCTTCCTTCACCTCCATTGATTCTGAGTCTCTGTGCTTCGGAGTGTTTGGCCCTCGTTCAAGGCTACGGTGGCCATGGACTCATTGTGTTGAGATGAAGGTAAACCCAGGCAGTTTCTTTTTTTAGATGCAATTGTGTTTCTGGAAAAGGCTGCACATCACATAATAGGAAATCCTGAGAGGGTGAAGACTGTTTCCTGCCAGTTGAAGCATTGTTGTCTTTGGCTGTTCTGACAATAGCAGAAACCTTCGAGTAAGGTGGAGGGGCAGGGAGGGAAGAGCTGCGTTGGGGTAGACGAGGAGTCAACTGCGGAGTCGGGGAAAGTGGAGATTGCCAGGGACGGTGATATAAACTAAGTGAAAGCAAATAAGTTGTAGAACCCTGCCAAAGGATGAAACCAGCCAAAACAAAACAAAACAAAACAAAACAAAACAAAACCCTCTAATTACTTTGAAAAAATATCTGTCAAAACGCTCTCAGCTAGGGGAAGACACTGTCAGCTCAGTATGGGCTGTTTTGTTTGTTTGTTCTGTTTTGTTTTAAATAAAAAATGGTCCATGAAATAAGCAGGTATCTAATGGATCCTGCTCGGGGATGGTAATGATGACAGTCAGTGATGACGACAGTGATGGGGATAGTGATAACTACATTGGAGAAAGTCACAGCTTCATTCATTTAAAATAGAAATGCTCTCTGCTGTAAAATCTTTAGACCTAAGAAACTGGAGGCTCTTTGGGGATCTGTTAGCAGGGGCTTCTCATCCTTTAAGTGCGAATGACTTTCCTGGGATCTTGTTAAAATGCAAGTTCTGATTCATACCCTGGGATGAGCCCGAGATTCTGCATTTCTGACGAACTCCCAAGTGATTTCTGCTGGTCGTTCAATAGATACATCCTCTTTCTACACTCGGGACTAGGGCTGCTTTTTCCTACTTCAGGTTCAATGACTTCATGTTGGGGACTTGAAATTGCCCAGTGCTATATGTGAAAATCAGGGCTTTTTTCTTCCCCTACTTTTTTTTCCTCTTTCTTTTTGGAGAGCTGGTTTGCCAGCATACCTTTGGGGTGGGGGAATGACCACTGTGTGGTCCATGAACCCATGAGGCCCATTTTGAGACTGACGTGGGCCATTTATCACAAGGTTCTGTATGTTCCACTCTAACGGGGCCATAGTGGTGCTTGGGTCAACTGTCATTCATGTCCACTCAGATCCTATGTCTAATAATCCCTGAAAGATCTAGGCGTTCTTTTTTGTCGGGTGTAGAATTACTCAGGTAAATGGCTAAGGGAGTCTCTGGGGAGGATTAGGGGAAGAGCTACCACAGATATGTGGTGTGGTGTGTTGCAGCATCCTTCCTCAAAGGCACCAGGCCTCCCCTTCAATCAATGAGTCCTGGATCTTAGAGCTGACTCACATGCAGACACTGGGTAAGGGATTGTGACTTTTATTGTAGCAGCTGACATCAGCCTTCTGCCCACTTGCTCTTGATCTTTTCGGTGACATAAGTCAAGCTAGGCCCTCACTGGCTGCCTGTGATCTCACCCGCAGACACCCCATGGTCTATCAGCCACCCCGAGGGGTCCCTGCAGGTCAAGGCTCAGGGCTGTCTTTCTGCTGTGCGTCCCATTATGACAATTACTTCCACCTTGCCTCTGATGGTTCAGTGCCTCCACCTGGCCTTTGGTATTCCAGAGTGGTATCATTCCCATTGACTATGAAGCCCATTTGAAGGCAGCGTCTCCCGCAAAAGGGCCACTGCAGAGCTTCTCAGGAACACTGATGCCTCCCTGACTAGTGGATGCCTTATTACTTTAGCAAAGGGAGAATCCTCTTTGCTTTTACCAGGATATTACTCCTCAGTCAATAAGCTCTTCCTTATCCAGCCTTGTTTTCTGTCCCTGCCAACCCTGACTCAACACTGTCAAGATCCATTCCCATTCATGTTCTCCCAGTCCCTGCCAGTGTTTATTAGCCAGGTCCTGTGGCTTTCCTCCCTTGCAGGGATGCTGCTTCCCTGCCTGAACCTTACTGAGACTTGATCATAATTGATCTAGCAGCAAAGGGGAGAGGCAGGAGCAGATCTTCAGGACAGCAAACATTGTCTGGGAAGACAACTGAGTCAGGAGTGGTCTTTGTTTAATCATCTCCTCTAGCAATTAAGAGGGGCTAACTTCTGCCAGTCCAGTGGTTCCTGGGAATCGGGGGGTTCAGGTTCTCAGGAACATCACCCCAGGCTCCCCATCTTAGGTATCAGGGCCCTTTTCCTTTCTTATCAGGGACCTCGCTTCCCATAGGAGATATGCCAGGGCTGTGAATTCAACTTCCTTTACTGCTAGAACACTCTGAAAAAGAGGGCCTGGACCTGTTTTGTTTTTTTTTGTTTTTTTTTTTTTTCCTTATCTGCCTTCCAGCTGCAGGAGATGAAGGTTTTTAAAATGCCTCCCTGGAAGCCTTCTGGCTTCCACACTATGTTCTAAGTTGATGGTTGGCTAATCTGAACCTGTCATTTTCTTCTTTCACAGTTCCAATTACAGCTAAAGACAACTAACCATCTCTACAGACTTTTGCTACCATATTGCTCAAGTGCCAGAGCTATTGCATAAGCTGATGTGTCTCCTTCCAGAGGACTCCATCTCAGTTCACCGCATATGAGGATCTTACAGAACTCAACTGCAAAATGAGTATGATGAGAATCTTACAGAATCTTTCAAAACTCCACTCAACACCAACTGTGGGGTCTTGTGACCATTGGGCTGGTGAGTGATCCAATTCCACAATCCCACCCTGAGGGTCTGCTTCCCAGGACCACTTCTAGCACCAGCTGTCTGAGGGTGGGTTCTCTCCAATTAGAACACAATGCAAGGATTTGAAAGCAAGTAGTTTATTTGCAAGGGGACCCAAGAAGCATTAGTAGAGACAGAGAAGGTAGCAAGCCAATAAAGAGTATGTTTTCAGGCAAGTGGGGTAGCGGGGCTTAGACCCACTGGGGAACTGGGCAGCCTTCCTCAGAGTTACTCACTGCCCTGAGGGATGAGGAAGTTGGTGTATTTATCCAGCTGCACCTCATCTGTCATTGCTTAAGGGCTGCTTATGGGGGCATTAATTTGCTGGCAGCCCAAAACAGCCCTCAGCAGAGAAAAATTATGTGTTCACATAAGGAACCATTGGTATTCAGAGGTGAGTGCAAGGAGATATGGACCTGGCATTGTCAGCCTCCACTACGATCTTGTACCATACAAGATACAAGGATAATCTTGTATCATCCTTTGACTGAGCTAAGGATCATCTTCCCTGAACCCCTCCAGTGGTAGTAGCTATGAAAAAAAACAATCCAGAGCACACCCAGCCCACATGGGGACAGCGCTTGGAAAATCTCTTAGGGAAAGAGACGGTAGAGGCCATGCCATCCTGGTGCTGGAGCTGTTGGGCAAGCGCAATGTTCAGGAAGCAGGGTTTCAGCTGGAGAGCTGGGAGACTCCCCTGCCCAGGAGGAGTGGCCTATGGAAGGCTTAATCCGCAGACTACCTCCTGTGGATTAATACTGTGCTCTCCAGGTAACAATGCCTTATTCCAGTTAAGAAGATTCCTCACCGTGTGACTCTTTGGGTGAGAATTTCAGTCACATGCTGTAAGAGAGTCATTTTGAGGTATGTTTTTTGCTAGGATCCCTCAAATTACATTGAAAATACAGCATCAGTTTGCATTTGCATGTGATTTTCAGAGCACTTTCACATGTATCAGACTAGCTGACCCTCCTAACAGCCCAGTGAAGACAGACGAGGGTGAGTACTTTTGTCTTCATTTTACAGATAAGAAAATTGGACTCAGGAAGGTTAAGTGTCCTGCTCAAAGGTCACCATACTGGGTGGCGGTGGAGGAGCCCAGTCTCAGATCTTCTGATACTCTGTCATTCAGCGCTGCTTCCCGGGCCAGCATTTCTCAAACGCTGTCTCTTCCATTAATTGTAAAGGAGCACCTTAGTAGCAGGAGCATTTCTGGTTCATTCTGGCATAGCCAGTGCTGGCATATTCTGAATGCTTCATATCTGCTTGTTAAGCAAATGAATTTTTAAATCCCCCCAGAGGACTTGGGAAGCCGTGAGGCAGCCGCTATTAACTCTTCTTTCTTGTCTCTCCTCCCAAGTACACTTGCACACAACACACACCAACACAGATGCACACACACATACACTACACACACACAGTCTCTCTCTCACACACACACTGTCTCTCTCTTGTATATACACGCACTCTCCCCATCTCTCTGTCTCTCACACTCTCCCATTTCTCTCTCGCACACAGTCTGCCCATCTCTCTCTCTCACACACACTCTCCCCATCTCTCTCTCTCACACACACTCTCCCCATCTCTCTCTCTCTCACACACACACATACACTCTCCCCATCTCTCTCTCTCATACACACTCTCCCCATCTCTCTCTCTCATACACACTCTCCCCATCTCTCTCTCTCACACACACATACACACACACACACTCTCTCTCCCATCTCTCTCACACACACTCTCCCCATCTCTCTCACACACACACTCTCCCCATCTCTCTCTCTCACACACACTCTCCCCATCTCTCTCACACACACACGTACACACTCTCTCCCATCTCTCACTTGCACACACTCTCTCATCTCTCTCGTACACACACACACACACTCTCTCTCCCATCTCTCTCACACACACTCTCCCATCTCTCTCACACACACTCCCCATCACACACACACACACACACACACACACACGCACACATACACACACACTCTCTTACACTTTGTCCGTCCCTCTCGCCCCCGCTCCCTGGACCCTAAAGGCTACACTCTTGATGCTTCTTGGAAATCCTCAAACAGGGAAACACCTGAGAAATCTAGGGAACGACAATGGTCAGAGGAACCCTAACATGTATGAGGAGACCCGAAATGCTCCCTGCGGCCGGCTCCTGGGTTAGAGGGAGAATCTTTACTGACTCCGGGCAGCGTTAGGATTGTCCCTCTCGCTGTCCCCGGATTTGCTCTCCCCGGGCCAGGGCTCGCTGGAAGAGACTGTCCTTCAGCGGGTATGCAGTGACCGCAGAGAGCCACAAGAGGGAGCCAGTGCCGCGGGGAGCCGCCGGCCGCTGAGCCCCTGAGGCTCTGCTGAACCCACAAAAGGAACCTGGGCTGAGAGGCCGAGTGCACAACCAGGAGGCCTCGGGGAGCAGGATAGACAGAGAGCATGAGAAAAACCAGAAATGTGGAGTAACACAGACGGGAGATCAAATTTTAATTAAATTTAATATTAAAAAGTAAATGGGTGGAGGACTTTCCTCTTTAACTTTACACTGCTCCGATTTTGGGGGGGACAAGCATATGTTGTTTTCATAATTAAGAGTGAATAAACATATATTTTAAACAAACTGGAAAAATCAAATAAGGAGCGAGCAAAGCAGTAGGAAAATCTTGACGTTTCCCTGGAGTTCTGGAAAGAGGCAGCGCATTCCCAGCCTTGCCTTTGCGATGGGGCCCTGCCCCCGTTGTTCCTTCTTTACTCTTTCTCTTAAGAATTGTGCCGGCCTGCTGAGGGTTGAGCACACTACCTTTAGCTTGAAATGGAATAGAAGTGAATTAATAGCAGGGAGTGTTGTCAGTGTTTTGTGATGACTCTTGGCTGACACCATTAAGATACCATTTTTACTCCCTTATGAAGATAAACCCTTAAATGGCTGAGGCCATTAATGAACCATAAGCTTCATTGTTAGAATTTCATGAGAAACAACAGTAAAACTGATTTAGTTGTCCTCTTGGAAGCCTCTATTGAGAGAACTTGTTTCGTGTATCCGAGGGGGCACAGCTATAAAGCAATGAGAATGTTTTAATTAAGCGTCTTAGGCCTCGTAAATCTAATTGACACTTTTTCTACAAACCACGGGGACCAACGGAATTATTACAAGCAAACCCAAAGCATTTGACTGAGGAAATTTGCCCCCAGAGTCCATTTAGGAAAAATAATGATAAAAAAAAATCAATTTATGTCATGCCTCTTTGGGATGCCAAATGTTGTTAGCTATATTAAAATGTGTTTATTCATTTGAATTTAGCTGTGGGTGATGCAAAGCTCTTCTGGAAATTAATCCACCCTCAGAGGATGAAGACTCCCAACCTCCATTGGAGGCTGTGGTGCCAGGAAAAGCAGTGGGGGACAAATTGCAAGTGGCCTCGGTGTTAGGGGCTGGAGCTGTCTGTTTGGTGGGGGAAGAGGTTGAACCCCCCAGCTGCCTGTTGGATGCCCTCTTAGCTACCTTGGTCACAAGCAGCTGATGTGGTTAGAGATGCCTGGGGCAGCCTGGGGAAGTGAAACTTTTATACCTTCCCATTCCTTCCCAACATTTTGCATATCATAATTACACAGAAAAGGCGACATTTGTGTAAAAAGCTAGAACTGAAAGACATTTGGAGGTATCTGTAGGGGAGTTGGAGAAAAACTTTATTATATTTTCCTATATAAAGGTGACTATTGAATTTGTATGAAACTTCCAAAGAAAATCTTCTAACACTTTTAATGAGAAGCTTGAGTTTGCTTCCATGGACATAATTTGTATGTCACCATCACTGGCTTTGTATCAGAAGGGGATATGAATTTTAAGACAAGTTTTACAACTGTAAAACTGTAACGATTTGTAACAATTCCTCAAGACCCTTAAATGATAAGTTCTTCAAAGTGTTGATAGTCACCATCACTGACTTTGTATCAGAAGGGGATACCAATTTTAAGACCAGTTTTACAACCTTTCAAAAAGTTACAACATTTGAAATTGTAACAAAAGAGAATTCAACTTTTCTTCTTGTTTCATTGACAAAGGGAATGTTGACATTTCCTGTGACAAGGGAATGGATTTTGAATCCAGTGGAATATTTTCAGGTTAAGCATTTCAAAATAAGGGACTCTCTAATTGGCAGAAGGAGCATGTACCATCAGAGTGCTTGCCTTGCAGCAAACGGCCAGAAGTATCCCAGGAACACAAGACAGAGATTAGGAAGCCTGGAGATTTTCTGTCCCCTCGTTCTCTGTTGGTCACACCTTGGGTCCCTGGAGCCAGACTCCTCTGGCAACTGCCTAGATCCCTGATCTAGACAGGCAGTGCTGTACTCTACAGCCATGAAGCTGCCCAGGTTGAGGGTTGGGGGACACCTCCTTCACTGCCCTTTACTCACCAGTGGGCAACAACCAACTCCGGCATATAATGCCCCAGGCTTTCCAGTCTGGAAATCAGGGTATTAGGGGTACACTAGTAACCTATTGGAACACCCCATGTGTACTGCTGCGTACAGTCCATGGCTGGGAAACTCTCTTCTAGTTTGGGCCCAAGGGGTTTCTCCACTCACACACACTCAACTAGCTCCTCAGGGAGTATAGCAGAAGGTAATCTCAAGCCACAGCTCCATAGAGGTATCGTACGCCCTCTGCTGACTTTGTACCTTGGGCCACACTGTCTCGGAGCTCACTGGGGTTAGCCACAGCCACAGAAAGTAGATGTCTTAGGCCAGGCGCGGTGGCTCATGCCTGGAATCCCAGCACTTCGGGAGGCTGAGGCAGGGGGATCACCTGAGGTCAGGAGTTTGAGAGCAGCCTGGCCAACATGGTGAAACCCTGTCTCTACTAAAAATACAAAAATCAGCTGGGTGTAGTGGTGTGTGCCTGTAATCCCAGCTACTCGGGAGGCTGAGGCAGGAGAATCACTTGAACCCAGGAGGTAGAGACTGCAGTGAGCAGAGACCATGCCACTGCACTCCAGCCTGGGCAACAGAGCGAGACTCCATCTCAAAAAAAAGAAAGAAAGAAGGAAAGTTGATGTCTTAGTGTTCCTGTTTTACAGTTTCTGTTACTACTGAATTGTTACCAATGACCTGTTTGCTACTCAGACCAGAATATCTAAGAGTCGTTCCAGGTGTGGTTGGAACAATAGTGTTACTAGAATAAATGTACTCTCAGTCAAGATGACCACTTTGAAAGAAATGACACTCATGTGGATTTTAAAGTTCTCATGTTGGAATAACCTGGATCTTTCCATCCTTACGTGTTCCTCTATATTTGCAGGTGGAGAATTCTGCAGAATTTCAGAAGCACTGGCTTAGTGCCATGGTGAGTCAGCATGAACTTAGTTTTGTGAGTGGGCTGCTTCCATGTTCAATTGACTGTAGCTTCATACCTCTCATTTGTTTATAAAGCCCTACTATGTAAATATTACCACAGAATTCAGCATCTCAAAATTAACAGATGTTTACTATCTCATAGTTTCTATGGGTCAGGAATCAAGTGTGGCCCAGCTGGGTGTCTCCAGCTTAAGACCTCTCAAGAGATTGCAGTCAAGCTGTGGTCAGTGGGGTTGCTGTCTCACCTGAAGACTTGATTGAGGAAGGAGTGTCTTCTAGGCTCACTCACGTGGCTGTTGACAGGATTTAGTTCCTTGTGGGCTGTTGGACCGGGGACCTCAGGCCCTGGCTGGCTCTGGCTGGAGCCTTCCGTTAGTCTCCTCCCACAGGAGTCTCCATACGGCAGCTTGTCACATGGCAGCTGGCTTCGCTCAGAGTGAGCAAGTAAGAGAGAAGGAAAAGTCCCCAAGGTGAAAGCCACTACATGTGTAACCTAATCTTTTGCGTGGTATCTCATTACTTCTCTCATAGTCTGTTTCTTACAAACAGGCCACTAAGTTCAGACCATATTCAAGGGGAGGAGATTTCCCAAGGGCATGAATGCCAGAAGGCGAGGGTCACTGCTGGCCATCACAGAAGCCACTTCCCCACCTCCCCAAACACCTGCACTTGTTCCCTTTCTCTGAGGCTGTATCTGGATCCTGAGCCGGTTTCCCCATCCCTCTAGAGAGGAGCATTGCTTGATTCTTGCTAGCATCACCTTCATATTTTCTCAGTCACTCCTCCATTAAACATATCTACATTGAGACCTACTATGCTAGATTCCATGCTGGGCACTGGGAAGTCAGCAGGAAACAGGCACCATCTGTATGCACAGAGGTTCTTTCCTTCTGGCCTCTTGCCTGGAACTCTGTGGCCACTGTAATCCTCCCAGAGGACAGCTAGTGCCTGGGTGACCCACAGGATTGCCAGGGCAGAAACACTGTACCTCTGTCTGTGGGCTCCCTCCTGTGGCCTCTTGCTGGGCCTCCTCCCAACACTGCCTCCCTGACGGGCATGTGCTTCCCCACCAGTCTGACCACCACCCTCTCTTCAGCAGCCAAACCCCATTTCTCCATCCTGAGAGTCTCCAGTTTAGGGCATCCCACCGTCTTCTGAGTGGCGGACCCGTTCCTCACAGGGTAATGACTTGTATAGTGAACCAAGACAGTACAGGAATCATTCTCATTATTATTATTCTACACACCTGTCAAGGCAGCTACAAAATTAGTCACATTACCACAGCATCATCCCCATGGGGCTGCATAAATGGGAACATCGATATAAGGGTTATGCTTGTTTCCTTTAACTTAATCTGCACGTCGAAACTCTTTTACTAAAAGGACCTCTGATTTCATTATAGAAACCTAAGCTTTTCTCATCAACACTGGTTCATTTCTTTAAAGGCTCCTGTTTTACTGCTGTCAGAGAAAAGGCTGTTAGGTGACCGGGATGGTCGGGAGCCAGTCTGCTGTCCCCAGCTCCCTCACACTGCCTGGCTGTAGCCCATTTTCATTCTTTGTGATGGCAGAGACACCCCTTTCACCACAGGGTGCTGCAGGCGGGAGGATCTGGACCAAGATTTCATTTTCAGGCTCAGCGGGGTAGCCTGGTCTATAATGCCACATGGTAAATTGCACAACAGCTGTTTGGAAAAGACTGCTCAAAAGCCAGTCACTGTGTTGATGTTGGAGTCCCTCCTTGAGTGTTGGTGGCCTTTAAGGAAGTAAGAGGTCCCTGGAAAGGCTTGTTGAGGCCTGTCCCAACCCCTCTCACATCCCTGAGCGTTGGCAGAGATCACACACGCAGCTAAACTTAGCTCAACGCCACACCACTGTCAGCCCTGCTTCCCCTCCACAAGGCAGGTGTTGCATGGATCTCGCTAAACTTGCCCTCTCTCTGTCACTGCTGTTCCAGTGTGTCCCTAACTGCTGAGAATTAGGGTCAGGCCTCCTGGCTCCCCCTTTTTCTGTGGTACAAATAAGAGTTTGTGTTCTCCTCTTAGCCTCCCATCTGTAGCCTGATGAATGGGCAATGAAGGAAGAATGCTTATTGCTGACTACAAGCCAGAGAGGAGGGGGAGTGTGAGAGATGGCCTGGGGCAAAGTGAGATTGTGACTCATTGAAACAGAGGTCTGCAGCTCTCTCCTTAGTATGGGGGCACCCAGTGATCTGCCTACAGCTGCCTGCCCCTTTCTGATATTCCCCCTCTCATCCTTTCCTGATTTTTTTCTCACCCAACCCTCCCTCCTCCCTCCTCCTATCTCCCACTCCCCACATCACTGTCATTTCTCCTATAAGCTGTCTCCTCCTTGCAGGCTTTGCCTCCTCACCCATGGAGCTTGTCTGAGAGGAAACATCCTCTCCTAGTGCAGGTCCTCTTTCCTTCCTTCTCCCACACCACATGCTCCTCCTTCCTTGAATTCCTGCCACAGTGCTGCAGCTGTGGTTGGGGATGAAGGTGAGTGGCCTCCATGCCTGTGGTGGGTAGGTTAACAGATCTTCTGCGGATAAGAGTAATGAGCATCCACAAGCAGAATGTGGGTTTTTCTTTAATGGAAGAGGGTACCTAGATTTAGGGCAGGGGTAGGTGAGTGTTAGATGCCTTTCCATTCCCTCCTCATCTATCACCATCTTCTGCATCCAGCCTCCTGGCTCCTACAAAAGGACTGTTTGTCTCTACCTGGATCTTTAAGACTTTCTGACAGTTGTGTGGTTGGGGATTGGAAATTACCAGTGAAGAAACCCCCAGGATATGGAACTCCTGCAATTCAACAATAAAAAGATAAACAACCCAGTCAAAAAACGAGAAAAGGACTTAAATAGACATTTCTCCATAGAAGATACACAAATGGTGATTAAGCACATGAAAAGATGCTCAACATCATTAGTCATTAAGAAAATGTAGGCCAGGTGCAGTGGCTCACGCCTGTAATCCCAGCATTTTGGGAGGCCAAGGCGGGCAGATCACTTGAGGTCAGGAGTTCAAGACCAGCCTGGCCAAGGTGGTGAAACCCTGTCTCTACTAAAAATACAAAAAAATTAGCCAGGTGTGGTGGCACACGCCTGTAATCCCATCTATTTGGGAGGCTGAGGCAGAAGAATTGCTTGGACCTGGGAGGTGGAGGTTGTAGTGAGCCAAGATCCAGCCACTGAACTCCAGCCTGAGTGACAGAGGGAGACTCCATCTCAAAAAAAATAAAAAGAAAAAGAAAAAGAAAATAAAATAAAAAGAGGAAGAAAATGTAAATGGAAACTGCAATGAGATGGTGTTTCATATGCATTAAGATGACTGTTATCAATAAGTCAAAAAATAACATGTTGTCAAGGATGTGGAGAAATCAGAACTCTTATAATTGCTGGTGGGAATGTAAAGTGGTACAGCCACTGTGGGAAGCCAGGAGTTCGAGACCACCCTGGCTAACATGGTGAAATCCAATCTCTACTAAATATACAAAAAAAATTAGCCAGGCATGGTGGTGCATGCCTGTGATCCCAGCTACTTGGGAAGCTGAGGCACGAGAACGGCTTGAACCTGGGAAGTAGAGGTTGCAGTGAGTTGGGATCATGCCACTGTACTCCAGCCTGGACGACAGAGTGAGACTCTGTCTGAAAAAATAAAAGAAAAAGAATTTGTATATAACCCAGCAATTCCACATCTAGGTATATACCCCAAAGAATTGAAAACAGAAACCCAAATGGGCAGGGCACCGTGGCTCATGCTTGTAATTCCAACACTTTGGAAGGCTGAGGCAGGAGCATTTCTTGAGCCCAGGAATTTGAGACCAGCCTGGGCAGCATAGCAAGACCTCATCTATACAAAAAACCTGAAAAACAAAAAATTAGTACAGTGTGGTGTTGTGCACCTGAAGTCCTAGCTACTCAGAAGACTGAGGTGGGAGGATTGCTTAAGAGTCCAGGAGGTTGAGGCTGCAGTGAGATATGATAGGGCCACTGCACTCCAGCCCCAGTGACAGAGCAAGTCCCTGTCTTGCAACAAAGCAAGCAAGAAAGCAAGCAAGCAAGCAAGCAAGCAAGCAAGCAAGAAAGAACGAAAGGCAGACTCAAACAGATACTTGTGTGCCAATGTTCATTGCAGCATTATTTGCAATAGTCAAAAAATGGAAGGAAAGAACCTGTGTCCATCAACAGATAAATGGATAAACAAAATGTGATATACCATACAATGGAACATTATTCAGCCATAAAACAAATAAAGTTCTGATAGATGCTACAATATGAGTAAACTTTGAAGACATTATACTAAGTGAAATAAGTCAGTCACAAAAGGACAAATATTATATGATTCCACTTATATGAAATACCTAGAACAGGCAAATTCATAGAGACAGAAAGTAGATTAGTGGTTACCAGGGGTTGAAGAAGGTGGGAATGGATAATCAGTGCTTAATGGGTACAGCATTTCTGCTTGTGTTGATAAAACATTTTTTTGGAAATGGATAGTGGTAATGATTGCACAACACTGTGAATATAATTAACACCACTGAATAGACACTTAAAATGGTTAAAATGGCAAAAATTCACGATATGTATATTTGACTATAATTTTTTAAATTGAAACCAAAAGAATAAAAAGAAAGAAAGCTCCGAAAGGAAGATATACAGGCACAGGCTCTGGAGGTGGAGGAGCCGCAGGTGGAGTTTAGTGGGTCATTTGCCAAGAGGGTGGCTGTGGGCGAGTCATGACACCTTGGACAAAGCTGCAGCCCTCCTGGAGTCTTGACTTTTTCATTCAGGATAGTGAAGTGAAGTGTATATGAGCATGGGCTCTGGACTGTCGGGGTCCACTTCCTTCTTTGACTCTGTCTGTGTGACTCGGGCAAGTTATGAGCCCACTCTTTGTCTTCCTCACCTGCAAAGTGGGAACAATACAACTTACCCCATTGGGTTTTTGTTAGAATTGGATTATTTTGTATAAAATTCTTAAAATAATGCCAGGCACATAGTAATTGCTAAATGAATAGCTGTAAAATGGAAGGGTGGGGTGAATTAATAAGCAATGAGGAGATTTGTTTAAATTAAAAATTAAAAATGCTAAAATATTAAAACCAAAAGTGTCCACATACTCTAGCATTATAATAGCTTTATTCCCCTGAAATCTTTAGATTTTGCAAATTCCAGATGAGTTTATTGAAACAGATTTTCTCTTTTTCTTTTTTGGTGCTCCTGCTGTGCTGGTGCCCTAAGCATTTTT